ATCTTACGAGCAGTCAAGCTTTGACAGCCGCGTTAGTGTGTCAACGAGCTCAACTGCCATCTCTGTAACTCAGCGTTAGGATAATAAGGTAGACAGTTTCTCATGGCAGATCAAATTATCCTCAAAGTAGTTACTCTGTAACCAGTGGATATAATTTATAATGGATAAGGTAGATCTTGTAATGGATAGATCTTAACTATCGTCATAGTTTTCAATTGTATGTTTTTTGCGTTAATCTGACTCGGAAATATTACCTGGGTATATGGCAGTCTTCCTGCTTCCTTTTATCTTAATTATCTTGGTAATATGTGTGTGTCGTTTTAGTTACCTGTAGTTACCTGGCGTCGGCTGCCAGGTGGTGGAATTTTTAGTTAGTACTGGCAATTACATATTAATACCTGTATTTAACCTGGACAGTTCGTGGAAGTCCTGTCAATACCTGGCTCGACCTGCCGCTCTTCGGAGACGCTAAAGCAAGCGTTCTCTTCACCCTCGGCTCGAGAATAATAATTTTTTAGGGCGTTTTTCCAAAAGTTTTTTTTCTCGAGTTTGAATTACTTTTTCTTTAGTCGAACTTTTATTTGCAAGATACATCAAGTTCCTGTTTTATCTCCGACCTTCATTAAAGTTCAGTTATTTACGCTTTCCAGGGGAAAAAATACTGACATGAAAAGTTTCCTTCGCTAAGTTTGGGCCAAAGGGACTTAGGAAGAACTTAGTTTACCTCTCACACACTTAACATGATTCATTAAATACAATTTCGGTCATGGAATTAAGTACGATTTTAGGATGTCCACATTCCTAAAATGATAGTACTTATAGCAAGTAATTGGTCATTCGTACAAAAGTGAGCTGTTGGACCCAAAACTATCCGCGTTTTGTATTGCTAAGTTTGTCTAAATGTTGTTCAGAAAAAAACGAAAAAGTTAAAGAACCCAACTTGTCCAAGCAACCCTAGGCTTAATCTATGCTATTCCAAGCCCAAAATAGTACATATATGGCTTAAGTATATGTGTAGGAATATTTAAGCTTCGTATTTGACCTCTTTAGTGTCCTCTATAACATTAATAGTAGCAAATGTGAACATTTCTATCTGCAACAGTCCATATTTGTATGTTTGACCAAAGGTAATTGCTGCGAGTACTGTTATTAATACAGGATGTGTTGGATTTAACCGGATGTAGTAATCGGAACTGATTCTGGTAACTTGTCGTTACAAAGACATTATCCGGATTTAAAATGCCAAAAGAGGACTCGTGTTTATTTAACGATGCGTCTGTGCAATATTGCAAGTGCTCGGCAATATATAATTTTCGCATGCATTTTCATCCATGCCGTAAATCATGCTTCGAAAACTAGTCCGTTTCCAGGCTCGACTAATCCCATTGATAGGCAGTAATTAAAAACAATATGATGAATTACTTCATTGTATTTTGTCATAATGATGATCTACATCTGAACTACAGCCCTGGAGGGCCAATCAGGTTTGGGTAACGTGTCACTGTAGATGATTGACGGTACGTAGCTCACTATGGTGGTAGATTAGCCAGTCACAGAGGTAGACTCGTCACTGTGGTTGGCTAGGAAGTTGTACCCTACAGACAGACAGACACACACACACACACACACACACACACACACACACACACACACACACACACACACACACACACACACACACACACACACACACACACACACACACACACCTACCCACCCCCCTACCTACCTACCTACCTACCTACCTACCTACCTACCTAGAGCTGCTGTGAAGACCTTCAAACTTGTTACCAGGCAGTTAAGGTCTGGAACAAGCTATTCAAGGTCATTACTACTCAAGGGTCAAGCCTTATTATTACCTCCCCTGCCTCGCTGTCTCTTGTCTCCTTACCTCCTCCGCTTAGTCTTTCTCCCTGTCTACCCTATCCACTTGTTATATCATTTCCATTTTAGGCATGGTGATATTTTGATTGTTATACACGTGGTAATAAAGCCAGCATTGAAAAGTACAGTACAGTACAACCTGAACTAATAATTTGTGTTAATTTCCCCAACTATAGATGTATTATTATTTATGAATACAGTTTTCGATACATTCCGCTAGACAAATATATCGGGAAATGTTTAGAAGAAGCGTTATCGTAGAGTTAAAAGGGATATAAACAAACTGAAGATATATGTTAACATTTTTGCTTCCAGTGATAAGGTACGAAAGGCACTTTTGGTCCATACGAGGCAGCTCCAGTTTATATCCACCTAAATTCATTCATGTCTATTCTTCGCTCGAAACAATCCAGTTATTCCGTATATTGTTATCCGTTAAATTCTTCACTGAAGACCTGGGTAAATGCTGGTATAGAAATAGTTATGGATAACCTGAATCAACCACCCATATATTTTCAAACCAGTATTTACCCAGGTCTTAACCAGAATCAAAAGGTTTCCCAATTTATATAATTTAAAGTTCTTATGCTGAGTGTATATAAACACGGCTGTTGCAGGGAATTTATTCAGCAAACATGTCACACATAACTAAAGTGAACTATTAAAATGGCATTTTCTATTTCCGTGTCGAGTGTAATTTTTCGTCATTTCATGATTCTGAAAATATTATTTTGCAACACTTCGGAAAATTAGAATCTTGTCTGTTTCAAAATAGACAAAACAGGACGTAAACTCTCCATAGCTCAGTAAATGTCTCTAAACACACACACACGTGAGTGTATAATACATATAATAATATATATAACATATATTTATGTATATAATATAATTTCCCCTATCCACAATTGCAAAATTCTGTAACACACAATAATAGAATGTGATTAAGGCTTTCATATACAACATGGATGAGTTAATGAACAAGCTTCTAATGCATAGGACATACATAATTAATTGAGAAATAAAGAGCCAATTGAAACTGTCACTACCAGACACGTGCAGAACGCGTTGTGTGTGTTCTAAATCTGACAGTCTAGAGTGCAGTCCATCCCCCTTGGACTAGTTGGTAAACCGACGGCTTCGCTGCTTGCAGGTCGGAGTTCGATTCCCAATAGTCCCAAGTTGTTAGACAGGGTTACTTCACCTCTGTCCTTCCATCCCAGCTCTTATCCTATACTCGTAGCCCTGCCAAATGGCTTGGCGCTGTCTGATAATTACATAGTATCACACAACCAGCTGTTGACACACACTAAATATTCCTTATCTCTCGGCAAGGATCAGTAGCCTACACTGAGAGAGACTGAATGTGTTATAAGGATATTCTCAAGAATATGGGAGAATTATAAAAAATTACCCCATCTTGGAAGACAAAGGAGTTGATAAAGTAATTGCTTAATGCTAAGCCTGAAAGCAGTAGTATACAATTTAATCTTACTTAGATCTTGATACCTAAACATGCGGAAGACTACAGAATACTTACGCTGTGGATCAGTGAAAGTCTTGGGGATTTCCCCCCGCGTTTCATTTATTCATTTGGAGACCTCAACATCTTTATTCCATTATGTCATGGGAAAAGTAGAGTGTCGAAAGTTGATATAAATCATGCAAAAGAAACAAATCGTCATGAATGATGTTTATAAAAGGTAGATAAAACATTTTCAAGGCGTTCTAGTTTTTTTTTGCACTTGACAATGATGTTATTTGCAAAAGAAATAGTTGGCTTGGTTATACATTTCTGTTCTGGAAGATGGGAGCTTGTTCGTATGCTCCTAAACCGGAATCGGGATCTAATAATGTACCCATATATTAGAAGCTGCCTGAGAGGCGTGTCCGTGTACTGGAAGCTGCCTGAGAGGCGTGTCCGTGTACTGGAAGCTGCCGGAGAGGCGTGTCCGTGTACTGGAAGCTGCCGGAGAGGCGTGTCCGTGTACTGGAAGGTGCCGGAGAGGCGTGTCTGTGTACTGGAAGGTGCCGGAGAGGCGTGTCTGTGTACTGGAAGGTGCCGGAGAGGCGTGTCCGTGTACTGGAAGCTGCCGGAGAGGCGTGTCCGTGTACTGGAAGCTGCCGGAGAGGCGTGTCTGTGTACTGGAAGCTGCCGGAGAGGCGTGTCTATGTACTGGAAGCTGCCGGAGAGGCGTGTCCATGTACTGGAAGCTGCCGGAGAGGCGTGTCCGTGTACTGGAAGCTGCCGGAGAGGCGCGTCCGTGTACTGGAAGCTAGAAACCTGGACTTGAGCTCTTAACACACGGTGAACTACACGCCTGCCTGTGTCCTACTACACTGGCATCGGGTGCAAAAGTTGTACCGACTAGATAGTACCCATTAAGTTAAAGAGGAAACAAGTAGACGGACCTAGAGCTATGCAAACTTAACACATCAGAACGAGACGACCTCAGGTGATTAGACTTAATTCCAACACATTCGGGCACCCCCCCACTTTTCCTCTTTTTCCCCCCTCTTCACGAGGGGAAATGGGGGATACCAGGAAGAAGGGAGAGCTGACGAGGCCTGGAGGACTAACACAAGCACTGGGGACATTGACGAAGTATCTTTCGTTTCACTCTGGAAATGTTTCACAGGGAAATCGTGCATTTGTGTTTGACGTTCTATATTTTTATCTCATCCACTGAGACAGAAAAGAGTGGAATTTGCAGCGATTTGGTATTGTATACATGGATAAGTGGGATTATTTCTGTATGTGTTAGTCTCTGTCTCTCTTGTCATTTGATATTCGTTTTTCCGTTTTATATTTTATTTTTTGGGTTCGTGTGAAAATCTAGTCTGTGTGAATATCTTCGTGTACATCTAGACGTAATTGTATGACTGTCTATTTCTTTGGTGTGTATATGTCTGTGTTTTGTTTTCCTGTCTGATGCTTAGCACACGCAATTTGCCTGTCTGACTTTCTCTGTATGTTTGTATTTAATCTCTCGGCTGCTTTGTGGGGAAGGGGAGATTATTTGATTTCCATTACTGCAAATTGAATCATTCAAGAAATATTTGAGTAAAGCATTAATCTCTTGGGGCGTCGGCTTCCATCTCTACTTGTATATCTGGGTTTATTTAGACGTCTTTAACGGATTCTCTGACGCCGCCGTCTGCATTGTGATGTCTACGACGTCGTCTTCATTGGCGAAAATATAAGCTTTGGCATTTACGTCTGACGTGTCTGAATCAATACTTGTTTCAACGTCAAACTCAGCGTCGTATGATGATGATGCATTGAAGGGATGAGAGCTTATACACCGAGTTAATATCAGTTCTATCTGCCATTTAAAATATGAATCGGTATGAACCTATCATTGGCAGTATGGATTGGTTGGGTGTATGTTAAAAAGTCATGAGCACATCTCGGACATTAGCAAACGTAAATGCATGAGTATCGCCCCAGCGTATTGTATGAAAATACAATCGTGCATTACAAGCAGAGTATGCAACAGGGAAACCCAGCCAGCAATAGGAATCCATGCAACATAGGGATCCAGCCTGAAGGAGCTAGTCACGTATCCTCGCGACTCGGGTCAGCTCAACTAGCGCTGAAAGAGACAATGTAGAACAAAACAAAACCACGTAGTTGGTACAGGCTACTGAATATGAACAGCGGAGCCGGATGCCCCCTCTCAAAAAAATATGTGAACAATACACCACACAAAGACCGGCTGGTGTAGTGCTGTATGCCGAGAGAGTCTACATTGTTCCCCTGTGCAGTAGTTCCCATTTAGTTGTCGTCCTCGATCATCATTTTCCGTAGGATTTCCGCCCGGCCTTCAATGCCAAAATTGTGCTCTCTAAAAGGAAATTGAACGAAATGATCAGCTATAATCTAGACTTGTCTATTAACCCCTAAATTGCGCAGCTATTTACAAATACTATATGGAGCTGCGTCTGGCTAAAAATAAACAAATCATATAGGTATGAAAAGATGATGACAATACGACGATTGAATCAGTGTGAAGATTTGGAATATATTTATGACCTCATCTCCTGACTGTCGGAAGCTGTGGGCGATAGCGAAGCAGCAACACAACACAACGCAATGCGATAACATTATTTAAGAGGGATGGTTGTGCTTGCTTGGGGTAACACACAGTGGGCGTTAACTGGGTCGGCGGACAAACAAATGCATTCCATGTTTTCCAACTGGCACATGGAATGCATCTGTGTTCCAGCTAGACAAAGAATGACTAATGGAAGCATCATTTCAGGGCATTTAGCAAAAACATAAACAATCGCAAAGAACAAATCCACAAGAGCCTTGATGTGAGGGTTCGAGCCTATAGTGTTCCCAGACGCGCCCTAGTCGACTGCACCACGACATGGTAAAATAATGGCAACCTGGAATGTATTTTAAGTGAAATGCAATAAGAAACTGAGAACCTACATGTCAAGTCAACGACGATGACAATATCAAGTAGAAAAAATCAGAAAAATGAGTTGAATAAAAAAAAATGGCAAAATGAGTTAAGAATGATTAAAATCAGTGACGAGCAGAGGGATAAGAAAGACGTGAAATAATGAGAATTTGAACGAGGAAGACGACTCAGAAGGGGAATAAGATAACAGAAAGAGGAGATAAGATGCACTTGAACATAAGAGTCAGAAAGGTGTGTGTGTGTCTCGTCCTCTCATTCTTTAACCTGTAATCAAATCACTTCGGCCTTCTGGATCATTTCCGGTTTTTTTCCATCGGCTAATTGTCCAACTGGCTGATACACCTCGGGGGTCTGTAGACCTTCCTAGAGTAACAGCCCAGCTGGTGGCGGGGCACCTTACCCAAGATATGGCCTCAATAAACACTGTGTTTTTATTCAGCGTAATATATGCAGGCAATGTGTGTTTGTGTGCCGGTAAATTAGGACTCTGGGCTTCACCAGAAGGCCAGAGGCTCCCTTGGCCGCCGCTGGCGAGGCTCCCTTGGCCGCCGCTGGCGGGGCTCCCTTGGCCGCCGCTGGCGGGGCTCCCTTGGCCGCCGCTGGCGAGGCTCCCTTGGCCGCCGCTGGCGAGGCTCCCTTGGCCGCCGCTGGCGAGGCTCCCTTGGCCGCCGCTGGCGAGGCTCCCTTGGCCGCCGCTGGCGAGGCTCCCTTGGCCGCCGCTGGCGGGGCTCCCTTGGCCGCCGCTGGCGGGGCTCCCTTGGCCGCCGCTGGCGGGGCTCCCTTGGCCGCCGCTGGCGGGGCTCCCTTGGCCGCCGCTGGCGGGGCTCCCTTGGCCGCCGTTGGCCGCCGCTGGCGGGGCTCCCTTGGCCGCCGCTGGCGGGGCTCCCTTGGCCGCCGCTGGCGGGGCTCCCTTGGCCGCCGCTGGAGGGGCTCCCTTGGCCGCCGCTGGAGGGGCTCCCTTGGCCGCCGCTGGAGGGGCTCCCTTGGCCGCCGCTGGAGGGGCTCCCTTGGCCGCCGCTGGCGGGGCTCCCTTGGCCGCCGTCAGCATCAACCAGACCCTCCAAGAGTTTATGATTTTCCGCGTTTTAAACATGGTTTGTTCATCACGAACGATCAATGTGTGTGTTCGTGTGGGGGAACGGGCTTGATTTTTTGTTTGCAATTCAAAAAGTACAGCAACATTATTTGTATTTAGTTCACATGTGTTTTTATTTGTTTAAGGTAATTAGTGGTAGTTTAAATTATTAAAGTAGATAATGTTTTTAAGCAACGGAAATTTGGCGAAACATTTCTTTCTTGAACGTTACAAATATTTGCACTTTATTTTTTTTTTTTTCGTGCTCATTCAAATTTTAAAAGCGTATGGGAGTATAGTCTGTGTATGAGTGTTGCCTCTACTATTGTGTTGCCTCTTGTGTTGTGAATATACTAGAGACTATACTGAATATACTAGACAATAACAACAGGTTGATATGTATTCTAGAGAATGACGACACAGGAGCGTGCCCTGTGTCCGGTTAACGACTCTGTAGCCGGTTAACGACGCTGTATCCGGCATCTGATGGCGATGACTTAGAGAGGACTCTGCTCTTCACTCCCGGAATCGTTGTTTCCATTCCCTTATAGTTTCCTTATGGTCGACAGAGGTGGCTGGAATATTTACATTTGTGTGTCATTTTGTATTCAATATCTGTCGTGTAGCAGAGAATACAGCAGCAATAGGATGGCTGGAATTTCGCTTTTCCTATTGGCTTGGGATTTCTGAGGGTAAGTATGACCATCTGTATGATTGTGCAGTGTTTAAAAGAGGTGTGTATACTTTAAAAACCTAGGAATGGAAATACACTTCTCGGTGTATCTTATCTGTTGAAATACTATACGTAATTTTCGAGGAAAGTAACATTTTCAAGAAAAGGAAAAAAAACCTGTTGGGCGTTTTGCCCCTTTTTTATACAGCAATATGTAATTTTTTCAGCACCTATTGCTCTAGAGCTAAATGAAAATGGAATTTATTTAGTTTTCATTCAATTGTATTTATTTTAAGATATTTATAATCGTCTATTTTAATTTTTTGAGTGTCAGTTATTTTGATGTTAGGTCAACTTTACTGACGGGGCTTAATTGAACAAAAGTAAAATCCAAAGAACAAACTAAATGAAAACGTTATAGATTTATTTTCTTGCGAATTGATCAGTTATGATGCTTCAAACCATTGTGGCCAATTTGAATGTGTTACATCTAGTTCTAGATGATTTTATCCACATCTGGATATCAGAAAATGCTGATCTGATGTTAGGTGTAAATTTAGATGGTTTGATTAGAATCTTGGATATTTACAGACGAATTGTTTTTTTTTTTTTTTTAATTTTTGTACCAGAACCGATTTGTAAGTCCCTGAGCGTGCTATATACTTTATTTTATATGCTATTATTACTTTATACTTTATACAGGAAAAATAAATCGATAAAAAATAAAGTGGCAGCACTGCACACAGAGTACACACAATTAGTACAGTCAATTGTATCGATGACCTTGTGGCGTCTGTGAAAGATAGTTCTCGAGTAATGGCTTAACAGTAAGAGCATTTTTACATAAACTGATAATAGTGCTTTGATGTCAGTTTATTCCACTGGATATTATTGACATTTAAGCAGCACTATAAAAAGAATCAGGAATTGTTGCAAGACCAACTTGTCAAGGAATTTGGATAATGGGTGTTGCAAGCGACGATACAAAAGTACACTGCACGTACTGCAAAACGGAGTTAAAATGAAACGTATAAAGACGTTTCTTACACTGAGCGTGACTCTCTTTTTTCTTCAATGCAAGTCCGATAGTCCACAATGCAATAATGTAGTTAAGAGTCTAATGGTCCTTTAAAGATCTCTACACACCTTCCTTCAATATCTACACTTGCTTAACATTAATCATCTAAGCGCGAAGGAGCAATTTGCCATGCACCCGTCACTACTCTAAGGGACTTGTTGATCTGTGTAAGAACAATATTAATAACACTAATAAGTGAAGGTAATTTCTTCTCACAAACATAATAATATAAAAACCCACACTTATGCATTGGTGTAATTTCTTTACATAAATTTCACAATCTTTCGCACTCTGCTGAGTGAGTGGTAGAGGTCAGAGTGTGTGGTTAGGACGAGACTTAATTCGTCGAGACGGAAGTCTTTGAGATTCAAGTCCTAACTACCCACTCAGACCTTAACAAAGCACTCGGGAGAGTGTGAGAGACTTGGTGTAATTTCTTTACTTCAATTTCACAAATACACAAATGAGGGATTTTATCCAAATAATCGTAATATTATCAGATTTGAAAATGCATTGCACAAAACGCATTAGTAACAAAGTATGTTTTAAGTAGCCATTTTGAGCATGAGTTGATTAATGATATACGTAATAATGTAGTTAAATGAGTCTAATGGCATTTCAGTTCGTAAGTTAATAGGAGTGTCCATTAGCAAATGGTAAAACTCGTTATAAAATTGTGCCAACCTATTATGGCCTGGTTCTTCTTAATTTGATGCCGAGAGCATTATAGAGGGTATAAAACTATTATCGATTATAAAGTTGGACTTGAAGAACCTTGTTGGAATAGGAATGGATAATGCGAGTATTATGATATTAGCACTATGCAAAACTCAAATATTATTGACCTTGTTATTTCTACATTATTGTTTCATTGAAATTTCAAAGACTGATAGTGTTATTCTTTATATTTTCATAAATTGAGCTAGAGGATCAGTAATACGTAAGATATTTGTAAGATTATTCTTAAAAAGCGTGTCTAGTAAATCTAGATATTTTGAGATTTTCATGACACTTTCGAAAATAAAACTGAGCATAGCTGGCAGCACCGGTTCAGACATGCTAAATCTTTATTATTTAAAAAAGTCACACATTTTAAGGTAACTGCACAATTTCATCCCCAGATGAAACCTATTACATATAACTGAAAGTGAAAAACAAAACATTACTGAAAATTTTCTTCAAATAAAAAATAGTTTACTTTACATCTTTGTTTAAAGAGTAATTTTTATGCTAGGGATCACATTTCCACTTGGAATCTATTCTCAAACCAAGTACCCTTCAAATAACAAATCTTAATTAACCACAATTAATCAACGCGGCCAAAAATGGCCCTGTATTGGCCATGCTCGTAATATCATGCACATCTGTCAAACGAGTTGATGTGGAGAACACTGGTGGTCCTTTTGCTTGATCTAATTATATATTCAGTATTTCACTTGCTGACTCGGGGCTTCTGACGCTTTAAATAGCACCATCAACATTGACTTGATCAAATATGCAGTATGACCATTTGGGGCCAGAGACAAAATTAAGTCTCTTTTTGCTGTGGCTCCTTTATATAACTAAGTAATATAGATGTGAGAGACCGAGAATAGTAGATATGCTTTTTAGCGCGCCAACACTAGGTATACTCTGTATGTTGAGCATTGTAAATGTGCTCTATAATGTGTAAGTGAGCATAGCAATGTTCTCTGTTGACACGGTGTGAATATAGTGGACATATTAGTGAGAGAGCGACTCATATCTGAATATTCAGGAAATATTTATTTAGTAGCGTCTATTGTTGTACAAAATAGTTCAAACGATTCGCGAAGATTTTCCGACGTTCTTGTATTATCTATTTACGAATTATTGGACGACGATGATTGGCAGTGTCGGGCTGTTAAATCATTTATGTAAGTCATTGCTCGTTTTCTGCTAAGCCGTGTGCTTTTCGTGAGTTTTCAAGGAAAAACTTTTCACAATTATTTCACTTAAATTTGTACTTTTTTCACAATTCTTGTGGCGAGTTTTTGTGTGTTCATAGTAAGATAGGTTTTATTGGTTAGTCTAGAGAATGATGATTAATTTAAAATGGGATATATATATATATATATATATATATATATGTCGTACCTAGTAGCCAGAACTCACTTCTCAGCCTACTATGCATGGCCCGATTTGCCTAATAAGCCTAGTTTTCATGAATTAATGTTTTTTCGACAACCTAACCTACCTAACCTAACCTAACGTTTTCGGCTACCTAACCTAACCTAACCTATAAAGATAGGATAGGTTAGGTTAGGTAGGGTTGGTTAGGTTCGGTCATATATCTACTTTAATTTTAACTCCAATAAAAAAAAATTGACCTCATACATAATGAAATGGGTAGCTTTATCATTTCATAAGAAAAAAATTAGAGAAAATATATTAATTCAGTAAAACTTGGCTTATTAGGCAAATCGGGCCTCGCATAGTAGTCTGAGAAGTGAGTTCTGGCTATTAGGTACGACATATATATATATATATATATATATATATATATATATATATATATCGTACCTAATAGCCAGAACTCACTTCTCAGACTACTATGCGAGGCCCGATTTGCCTAATAAGCCAAGTTTTACTGAATTAATATATTTTCTCTAATTTTTTTCTTATGAAATGATAAAGCTACCCATTTCATTATGTATGAGGTCAATTTTTTTTATTGGAGTTAAAATTAAAGTAGATATATGACCGAACCTAACCAACCCTACCTAACCTAACCTATCCTATCTTTATAGGTTAGGTTAGGTTAGGTAGCCGAAAACGTTAGGTTAGGTTAGGTAGGTTAGGTTGTCGAAAAAACATTAATTCATGAAAACTAGGCTTATTAGGCAAATCGGGCCATGCATAGTAGGCTGAGAAGTGAGTTCTGGCTACTAGGTACGACATATATATATATATATATATATATATATATATATATATATATATATATATATATATATATATATATATATAATAGAAAATTAATCTGCCTCTCGGAACTAGAGTCGTGAAAGGAATGGCAATAAGTGAACTGGAGAATTTTCCCCTGCTAGCTCTTGTAGATTAGTACACACACAATGTAATAATAATTTATTTAATATCCAGTAGACCTTAAAGTTGGGAGCGGGAGGTAAACCTTAGGATTACAGTCTCGCCGTCTGATAATCGCCCGTATTCTGGGGGCTCAATTAGAGCCAATTATTTGTA